TGGAACTGGATTTGATGTTAGAGGTCTTATCTCGATGGTTCAAATCGGCGAGTTATAGTTCATGAAGGAATTTCGGAGCCTACTGATTTGGTAGTTGATCCAAACAGCCACATGATTTACTGGTCTGACGCGAAGCTGGATGGTAAGCAGAGAGGTTTTGGTTGTATCTGTACATAACTGTGTAGTTTTTTGTAAATTATGCATTTGAATTTGGCCGCAGTTAGTAATTTTTTACCAAAAAATTTTGTTTTATGGCCTACTCTAACCGTAACTTCTTAGGAATCTATCGGGTGCGATCTGAAGGAGGTACTCCAGAGCTTGTTCGTGCAAATGTTGCGTCTGCTGTTGGTATTGCAGTATTTGGAAGTACGGTTTACTGGGCAGACAGTAGGCTCGAAAAAGTGTTTTCTTCGATGAAGTACGTAATAGGCTTAGCGGATAAAAGAGGTTTTTTATGGACTAAGCTAATTACATCACTTTCAGTCATCCGAACCAAACTTCTTCCCTGCTTTTGCCAACAACTATGGCTGCCGGTCTTCCTGACCTTGGAAATGTCGTAGTTTTTGATGAAACAGTACAGTCTAAAGTGTCATCGCCATGTCATTTAACTGACAACTTACGTAAAAGTCCTTGTCCTCAACTATGTTTTGCTGCCATTGGTAGCCAAAATCCAGTCTGTGCCTGCGCACGAGGTGTTCTGAAAGGAAGATCTTGCGAAGGTTGGTTATATGTGAAACATAATAATTAGGAGGTGCTCTTTTGCTGCTATCAGTATGTCTTCACTTTTGTTTCTTTTCCTCTAGAACTTTCTGTTTTAAACTTTATCGTGCTTTAGAGCCAGAAACGTACCTTCTTTTTGCTGATGGCGAGCGCATAGTTGATGCGCCAATTGAACCAGATGTAAAGGCTTCAAGGCCTTTGAAGGAGCCTCTTCCTTTTGTTGACAACCTTCAAGTATTTGACGTTGATATCAATTTGAAACGGATTTATTATGTAACCGAATCTCCGGTGGGCGCTAACATATCGTGGTTCGCTATGAATCAACCAAGCAAACGGAGGTATTTGTCTATGACATAGTTTGTGAATGACTTTCGTGTCTAACGTAATCTTTTAATATACTTTACTGTAGATTTTGTTTGCCACTATCATTTGCAATAAAACGAGCAAGTTAAAAATTGATTGTAGCTTACTTCGACTCTTCTATTTAGGGTTATTTTTGGACCAATGAAGTCGAAATTGCCAGAAAGTAACATACGGCACGTTTCTGACATGAAGCTGGATTGGCTAACGCAAAAGATTTATTTCACTACAGGAAGGTAACGGTTTTGAAACAATATAGAAAAAATATTTGTGTCGTCTGTAGTCATTCTAAACAGAAAAAAGCAATTGTTCGCTTTCTCTAATTATTTTTCCGCGCGGGTTTGCTGGGTTTTTTGCTTTCATAAGTTTTCTGAAACTTCTACAGAAGCGGTAAAATATATGCACTTGATACAACTGGAGAGCACATTGCAACTATTGCAAATGGAGACTGGACTTATGCTTTGGCCCTAGATCCATGCGCCGGTCTTATTTTCTGGTCTGACAGCGGATATAAAATTTCAGGAGGTAATATAACTTAAGATAATCCTTGACGAATTTGGTAGGCACAATTATATTTTTATTTGAACCTTAAGTTGATTAGCGGATAATATTTTTCTGATTATTTAGGGGCTTATGAGCCTCGTATTGAGCGATCAAATATGGCCGGCGGTGATCGAGAAATAATAATTAAAGAAAGCATAAGTTTGCCGGCTTCGATTGCTTTAGATTTTAGAGAACAACGGATTTACTGGGCTGATGTTAATCGGTATCAAACCTTTATTTATTGTTTTTTTTAAATGAAGACTTTGTTAATAAACTACTGTTTTACCAATTTTCAGCTTTTGAAAAACTTATTGTTCTTCTTCTATATTCACGGTCAAAAGTCTTTTTTAAAGTAAAAATTGGTGATTTGCAGTCTGAGCATTGACTCCTCAGATTACGACGGTAAAAACAGAAGGACGATTGGGATCGGTTATAGGGCGAAAAGTCTTGACATTTGGGGCTCTTGGCTGTATATGAGTGATCCGTTAGCTAATGGTATCTTTCGCATGAATAAGGTATATTACAATTACAAGTGATATTTAATTTTTTGCTCAGGATTTGTTGATTGTTTTACTTCTTAAAGGACACTGGCGGTGAATACGAAAATGTTGTGCCTGACAGACGTGTTCCATCTACACTTCATGTATTCGCTTCTGAAACAGATTTACAGACTCGGACACAATACTGCAACTCATTTACTTCTAATCTGTGTAAAAAAAATAATGGTGGCTGTGAGCAGGTGCGCCATTTGGCTCTGTTTATTTTTACTCATTGTTTTTTGCCAACGCTTAGCCAAATCTTGAAAACAAATCTTGAAAAAGTGCTTTCAAATACTTTGAGTTAGCTGCTGTTCTTTTTACGGCTTTTTACTAAACTGGTTCTTTGCAGTTATGTCATGTAGTTGCAACAGATGTCGGTCTTTTTGCTTCTAAAGTACAGTGCTCATGCAATGATAGTTACGTATTAGTAGAGGAGAAGTTACCTGGAAAGGATATTCCAACGCAGTGTGTTCCTAAGGATGCGTCTAGAGTGGTAAAAGAATTTGTAATGCTCGCAATTATTTTTTTTTTTTTTTTGAGAGGAGAGCTTCTCATTGAACAATGAAAAGTACGGCATTAGTTACGTTTTCACTTTTAGAACTGTCTACCACCATACAACTTCCAATGCGGCGACGGAATGTGCATCTCACTGAGCGAAACTTGCAATGGACGACAAGATTGTTCTGATGGATCAGATGAGCATCCCACTTACTGCAGTAATTTCACATTTCTTACTTCTTCTGCTCTCGGCACAACTTGCTAGTGATTATTTTTAATAAATCTGTTTTTAAAAAACGATTTAGATTCACGAGTTTGTCCTGAGAAGTATTTCTTGTGTAAAAACAGAAGATGTATTGAAAGCGAGCGTCAGTGTAACGGCGTTGATGACTGTGGCGACAACTCAGATGAAAGCGAATGCGGCAAACCCGGTTTGATTGCCTGTCCTACAGGCCAATTCGCCTGTTCAAATGGTCACTGTATTAACGAAACTAAGGTTGAGTTGTAATATTATTACAAATATTATTTTCAGAAAAAAGTCACAGATATGTTGCTTAGGTTTGTGATGGTCATAATGACTGCCATGACGAAAAAGTGTCAGATGAAAGCAAGGAAACGTGTCCGGATCTGCCTATTAATTGCCGAGGTGTACGTATTCACTGCCCAAATACAAACATCTGTATACAGCCTGCTGATCTCTGCGACGGATACGACGACTGTGGTGATAAAGCTGACGAAAACAAACTGTTCTGCATGAACCAGCCTTGTGCCACTCACTAGTGAGTTTCAAAAATGATCATTTTTAAGTTCATAGCTACATTAAAAAGCTGTTTCGTAACTGGTAGTCACAGTCATCTTTGAAGCGTTCGATGCCCAAGTGGAAGATGCATTCCGGAAACTTGGCAGTGTGATGGCGACAATGACTGTGGAGAGGGAGCTTGGGACGAGACTCATGCAAATTGTACTGATGAGCATGGCAAAAGAGTTTGTTTGGGCGAATATCTGTTCCAGGTTAAAAAACACTTATGAAAAAAAATTCTTTTTCTTAGTGGTTACGCTCTCTCTAAGTATATCGTTTGAATTTTCTCACATTCTCTGAAAAAGATCCACTACAGTGCCAAAACGGAAAGTGTATAAGTCGCGCGTTTATTTGCGATGGTGAAGATGACTGTGGAGATTCAAGCGACGAAAGTTCACTTCATAATTGTGGTGCGTTTCTGAATCTTTATTGCATTATACGTTGTATGCATTTTTAATTTTGTTTTTAAACTTATCCTCACAACCTCAGATGCCTTTAGCTACATCGATTTTTAAGCTTTTCTTTTGCTGAAGATTTTATTGGAATTTTTTTAGGGAATCGAACCTGTTCGGATCAGGAATTTCACTGTAAAGCCAATGTTCATCTGTCTCAGCCCAAGTATGAATGCATACCTAAAACTTGGTTGTGCGATGGTGACGTAACTTGTGCAGATGGTGAAGATGAGAGCAAGGAGCTTTGTGGTGTTGAAAAGAAAGAGTGTAACAAAGGGGAGTTTAGGTATAGAATATATAAATTTTTCTTTTTTTTTAGGTTTCTCATGTTCCATTTACTATTTCATTGTGGGTCAGCTTAAGAAATGTCTTCTAGATGTGCAAACAATCACTGTATTCATGCGTCGTGGGAATGTGATGGTGACAATGATTGCTTGGATGGGTCTGACGAACATCCAAATTGCAGTATGTTTTTTCTAAACACTTCTAGCGACTTTACATTATGGAGTACACTTGTTGAGTAACATACTTAAAATATTAATAAATTTAGCGTATTCTCAGTGTCAACCAGATTTTTGGCAATGCGCGAACCATAAATGCATTCCTAACAGTTGGAAATGTGATGGAAATGATGATTGCGATGATGGCAGTGATGAGAAGGTCAAATTTAAAGCGAAAAATATTTGTTTTAGCGTATTATGATTGGACGTTAGCTTTTAACTTTTTTTTAGGATTGCAATCACTCTTTAGAGGGAACGGTATGCTCTCCAGGAGAATTTCGTTGTAGAGATGGTACCTGTATTAATTCAACAAAAGTATGTGATAGAATATATGACTGCGAAGATCATTCTGATGAGTCTTCAAAATGCCGTAAGTGATGAAACTTTGACTGTATTATCATTTTTTTCTTTAGCCTTTATTTTCATTAAGAAAAGTTTAGATATAAATGAATGCGCGATTGCTGAAAAGCCTTTATGTGAACAGAAGTGTGTCGACTTGCCTATAGACTATAAATGCGAGTGTTATGAAGCCTTTGTTTTGGACAAGGACGACAAAAAGTCTTGTCATGATATTGACGAATGTGAAGGTACGTTTCAGTTAATTTATTTCACCAAACGCAGCCATTTTTTTAATTTATTCATTGTTGCTCGCCGCTTTTATTCGTTTTTAACTAACAGAGGATTAACAGTAAAGTAGCAGCACAATGTTTTTGAGGTTCACTACAACTGTTTCAATGGCTTTGACAAATTAATAGTTATAAAATTTGTAAATAGTACTAAAAAGTTTAATTATCGTCTAGAAGGAACTTCGTTGTGTAGTCAACACTGCGAAAATAAAATTGGTAGTTACAAATGTTCTTGTGTTGAGGGCTATTTGCTGGAAAACGATGATCGCACTTGCAAACGAATTGATTCTGTGAGTTCTATAATTATCATTACTTTTTTGTTCAAGAATATTCCAATCCACTGAGTGGAATGTTACGGTACCAATGGTTTAGTTTTTTGATTCTTAGGTTGTCGGTTTGTTCTTATTTTCCACTCTTTAGGATCCTATTCCATGGTTACTTTTCGCAAACAAACATTATATGAGGAAACTGTCAACGGATGGAACAGATTACGAACTAGTCGCCAGAGGGTTTGATAATGTCATTTCGATGGATGTGGATATGGTGGAGAAAAAGGTTTTCTAATGAAGTTTATTGAGCATTTTTTTGTTAGTCTCCGAGGACGAGTCGACATTCAGTTTACAAAATCTTGAACTTCAAACAATTACTTTCGTTTCAGGCATACATCGTTGATTCTGGTAAACTGCGGGTTTATAGAGTTGGGCTTAGCGAGATTAGTCGATCTATCTCCACTTACGAAGTGGTGCTAAGGCACAACGTTTTTGGTATAGAAGGTTCGATTTTAGACCACGTAGTGCACTACTTCACTTGTCGCCTGTCTATACAGCGTTTTGCTTTTTTAAGGGATAGCTGTTGATTGGATTGGCCGCAAGTTGTACTTTATGAACAGACAAGAAAGATCTATTCGTGTTTGCGAATTGGATGGAACTTTCTGCAAATCTTTAATTAGAGATCGAATAACACAACCTAAGGCTCGTTGAATATTCTGGGTCTTATGGCTTTCTGTTTACTAAAAATGTTATATTTGGGAACAGTAAAGTAATTTAGTGGGGCGAAAAATATCGGTAATTTATTTCTTTTTTATAGGCTATTGTTGTTCATCCTGGCAAAGGTTATTTGTATTTCACGGAATGGAGCTTACAACCTTACATCGGGCGAATGTCTATGGATGGTTCTCCAGATCTTGCAGATCCTATTGTTAAATTAGCAGAAAACGACTTGGGATGGCCAAATGCATTAACTATAGATTTTTATTCTGATAAGTTAGTAATTTTTGAATGACTTAGCTTCAGAAATAACCGGTTCTTCCTTTGGTCTAAAATTTATACTTTCTTTGCAGTTCCTTATAGTTTATCGTTATTTAGGCTCTTCTGGGGTGACGCTCATTTGAATGAAATTGGCTATATGGATTTAGATGGAGGAGCACGACACCATATTCCTGCTAAGCGAACATCCCATGTTTCGTCCATGACTGTCTTTGATGATTTTCTTTATTGGTCGGACTGGAACTTGAGACAAATAATGCGGGCAAATAAATGGACAGGAAAGAATGAGATGCCATTGGTCACAACCTCACAACTGCCAAACGATCTGAGGGTGTGTTTTGTGAGATGTAAACTTACCGATTATACGTTTAGCATTTAAAAGCGCTACAGTCGTATGGATTTCTTAAGTCTTGTAATGGGTCTCATATCGTTTTTTTT